GTAAATGTGGCCATAGAAAAGAAAGAGATGATGAAAGTTATGGCTAGGACTTCTGGGAGAACATGGCGGATAGATAGCAGCAGCTATGGAGGCTCTCTGAGTTAGCCAGCTTAGAATCCAGGAATGGTACGGTGTGGGGAGTCCTAAGCAAGGGGAGATATACCCTGCCGACCCAGGAATGAACTAAGCTGAGAGAAACCAACTGGAAATGCAATCCCGGTGCTATAACTGGAACAGATAAAATCTCAGTGCTAAAGCTGGAACTCCATACCACTGGAAGCCGCGATTTGAATTTCCTGCTACCGCTGCTGCATCTGAATCGGCACAGCAGGGAGAGAGACGGGAAACCTCTGAGAGCAGGAATCTGCGAATGGAGTTGAGAGTAGGACTGGCAGGGAGCCCTGCAATGACCTGTGGTGAGTGAGAGGAATGGGGACCCTTGCTTAGACTAGGAGGCTTCAACAGAGGACCTTCTGGGACTGGACAGACTAGCTGGAACAGGACGCTGTAGTAACTTCAGTCACATATTCCCCTCTCAAGCAGGACCAGTGGGGAGCGCTTGGCCTAGGTGATGCTGTGACTAAGACCCAAACCAGGGTAGCCCAAACCAGGTCCCAGCACCTGGCAGTGCACCCTAGCAGTGAAGCCTTCAGTAGGTTGACTGACCTGGAGAGGTGGGCCCAGCAGAGGCTGCCCAGGTCTGTGTCTCCCTAGTACACTACAGTGGGTGGGAACACCTAGCCGGCACAATTCAAACAAACTGTAACGGACAAAGAAAGAAACTGGGCCTCCTATATACGCTTGTATGGAAGGAACAAAAAGTATGGGAAGAGGGAGCAACAAGAAAGGGTTCTTGGCCCCCAATCCTGAGAACACTGATCCAGGAAAGGTAAATGCAAAGGAGAATGAGGACAGAAAACATGCAATATCAGACACGGCACCAACAGACATAAAGTGATATCTCCGGAGCTTCACAGATGAGTTCAAAAGTAAAGTATTTAATGACCTAAAGCAAGATATAAGTAGAATAGTTAGAGAAATGCTAAGCACCGCCCAAGAAAAAACAGATGGTGGAATGGAGAACAGAAAAAAAGGGGAGAATTGTTTGATGGAGAAAATAGAGAAAACATAGAATACGTGAAGCAGGTTCAAAGAGATTACCAGGAAACTGAAAAACTCTATTGAAAGCTGGAATAACAGCTTGAAAGAAACTAAGGATAGATTATGTGAACTGGAGGACAGATTTGTAATGTGGGAGCACGAAATGTAAAACTTCTTACAAAAAACAAGAAAACAAACAGCAATAATACAAAGGCTTGAAGATGATAAGAGGATCTATAACTTAAGAATTAAGAACGTAAAAGAAGAAGTAGGGACACAAACAAATGATCTACAAAGGCTATTCACAGAAATAATCTAGGAGAATTTCCCTAATTTAGATGTATGAGGCATACAGGATCCCAGCCACCTACAACCCAAACAGAGCTACATCCAGGCATATAATAATCAAAATTCCAGAAATCCAATATAAGAACAGAATATTAAAAGCCGTCAGAGACAAGAAACAGATCACTTACAAGGGAACACCCATCAGAATTACAGCAGACTTCTCGGCACAAACCATCAAATCATGAAGAGCGTGGGGGGAAATAATTCAAGGTTTGAAAGATAATAACCTCCAGCCAAGATTTGATATATCCTGCACAACTGTCCCTAGAAATTGATGGAAAAACAAGGTGCTTCCAGGATAAAGAGGAATTAGGGAAATTTGCAACCACCAATTCAACTCTACAGAGAATACTGCAGGACATTCTAAAAAAAGAAAAATACCAAGATTCCAGAAATAGTGGCAGAGAGGCTACAATGAATGGAGCAGAAAACAAAATGAAGAAGACAAACTGACAACTAATGAAAGAAAAAGAGCTCAACAGAAGGCAAAGAAGGTTGGGTGGTAGGAACAGCTATTTTGGAGAAAACAAGACATCACAATAGCTAGTGCTGATTTAATATCATCTTGTTTTGAAGTCCCATCAAGCTTTTGTTCTTCAGTCTCCATCGGTCTTAACATGTTGTATCTTATTGGATTTTATTATATGTGATAATATAAACAAAAACTTTTATAGACAAGGAGATAATACAGAAACCATTGTTCATTTTCTGTTAGTTGGTTCTAAATATCCTGTAACACTGTTATTCTCTTGAATGGTTTTACATTGTCTTGATATGTTTAATGCTACGGTATATGAAGTTATACTCAAAGATTTCAGGAAAGAGACACCATGGTAACTACTTTTATGTTGGGATATATGGTGGTGAAACACTATTTTGCTTAAATGGTTATGTTTTGACCTGTGCTGTTTTGTTATGTCCTCTTTTATCTCAATCTCCTTTTTTTATTGTTTACTTTTTTATTTTATCTTTTTAATTAAGGGAAAAATAAAAACAGCAGGATATATTATAGTAACCCACTTTGATTTCCTATTAACTTGATTTGAAACCCTGTATTACTCTCACTATCTTGTTTTGACTGATTTTCCTCTATTCTGTTTTGCTTGATACTACCAAGTTCGAGAGTATTAGGTAACAACTGTGAAGACAAGAAGATTCATTATGATGCCCATTCTGGCTTGACTATTATCTTCTTTTGAAGTCTTATAATGTCTCCAATGTTTTGCTTATTGGTTTTGTTCTTCACTGTTTTGTTCTATTTTATTATAACTGATGATATAGGCAATTCTTTTTAAGATAGCAAGAGGCATTATGATAACCAATGTTGACCACCTTGTATTTTGTTTTTGCAGTATGTGTTATGTCCATCCTTTTGCTTTGACTGACTCTGTTTTGTTATGTCACATTTGGTTTTATTCTCTTCAAAAAAAGTAATAAGAACTGTGGGAGTGGGGCTGGGGATTTAGCTCAGCGGCATAAGTGCCTGCCTTCAAGCAGGCAGTCGTGATTTCAATCCCCGGTACCGATAAAAAGGAAAAAGACCAAAAAAAAAAAAAAAAAAAACCTCCAGCCAAAAAAAAAGAACCGTGGGAGTAATAAAACCCAAAACGTGTAATTTTCATTGTACAAAAGAGAGGGAAAGAAAGTGCTCTAAAGGATATAACTGCACGTATATTTAAGTGTATAAGATAGATAACCATATTATAACCATAGATAACCATTATAACCATAGATAACCATTTTGTTGAATCATTGAACAGAACTGTTTGTAATCTGTTTGAATGTCCACTTTATATGCTTTAATTTTGTAACTTAAACAACTATTTCTAAGATGACAATATGTAATCTATTAACTAGTGATTTCCTACTATTTATTTTTTCTGAAATTCTGTATAATTTGTACCCTTTTTCTGTTTTTTTTCTTTTTCTCCTTAAATAAAATTTAAAAAAGAAAGTGATGGCTAAATTTGAGAGCAGAAAATGTTTAAGCATTTATATGTGTCACGTATATTTTTCATGTTACATGTGTATCCTTAAGAAGTCAAGAAGTAAATAAATAACAAAGAAGAGGGGAGGAGAATATGTGCAGTGCATGTGACAAGGGACTGATTAGCTTAATGTCACAGAGAATACCTACAAATCAAAAAGGAAAACAAATGAACATAGGCTATGCAAACAGCAGGGGTGAGGTTAAACCGTTACGGAAACACGTAGAGTTACTCCACCTTCCTGATGGAAAGTGCCCAGAGTTACCTAAGCCATGCTCACCAGCAAACGGGCAAAGCCTGAAGGCTGGCAAAGGCCCCACGCCCGTGCAGCGGGGACGTGTACACACAACAGAAGCAGTGCAGACACATTGATCCTGTAATTGCTTTCACAGATGCACCTGGACAGCCATCTGGAAGGCCAGGGTCAAGTTTCAATTTCTGTACCAGATCCTGTTAAGGCAGAGGAGACGCAGCTCCCAGCCCCCAGTCAGGGCCTAGTCATGGCCTGCTTCCATGCTGACTGTGTGTGTGTGTGTGTGTGTGTGTGTGTGTAGTGTGCATACCCCATCTACACAGCAAGCTCCATCTGCTGACGGTGCAGTTACTCTGGGCCCTGGCAGTGAGTGTGCCACGGCCGCCTCAGACTGTGGGTCTGGGAAGAGGCCTTGCAGACTACAGAAGTAGGTTTGAGGCTCCTTTGGAAAGAACTTCCGGGGTCCCGATGATGCTCTTAGCATGGTCCAGTGGGCAGGCACATCCCCAACCCCTTACAGGCTGTGGCCTGCAGGGAGGGGCACACAGCCAGTGGAGAGAAAATGGGGCTTCCTACAGCTTGGGGCCTGTGACTGGGGTGGTCCTGAATGTAGGGAAGCAGATACATTCCTATGCTGTTGTTCTGAGTAAATTTGGTGGGGAGAATTATTCAGCAACATCTTCCAAAATTCAATCTGACAGCTCTACGTTTAGTCACTTATTAACCAGGCTTGTACAGGTGCCCAACGCTGCAGGTATTATTATTGTCACTGTAACACAGTGCAATCAAAACGCTGCAAACAATATCCACTAAGTGGTGAATGGGTGAATTAGTCACTTTCTCATCACTGGGACGCAATACCCAACACCCACAACTTAAAGGAGGAGAGCTTTATTCTGGCTCTTAGGTTTCAGAGGGTTCTGTCCATCATTTGTCGGCTTCAAGGCAGACACGACCTCATGGGAAGAAAAGCTGTGGTGGGACATGGCAGCTAGGAAGCAGAGAGAAAGGGAGGAGCAGTGAGGGACCATCTAACCACCTCCCACATTGGTGACATCCCACATAAAACTTAACGACAGGTGACTAAATTATATAGTACACTTGGTACAATGAAATACGTATTAGCGGTCATGAGGCAGGATGGGCTGTGTCATGGTTTATGTCTGTGGCCCCCAGGCCTCATGTGTTTGCATTGTGTATTTGTGATTGGTTCATTGTCTAGTGCTTGGATTGATGGTGTCAGTGCTCCACCCACAAAGGGTTGGAGCCAGGATGTGACATAATGGCAGGAAGAAGGTGTGTCTTGCTCTTTGCTGGTTCTTGCTTGCTGTTTGCAGCCGCCATGAACTGCGGCCCAGCCATGCCTGCCTGTCTTGGAGCCAACTGAGTGTGGACTGAAACCTCCAAAAACTGTAAGAAATAAACCAAACCTTTCCTTTCTCAACTTGGGCTTCAGGTATTTTGTCTCAGCAAGGAGTAAAAAGTAACTAAGACAGGCTGATCTGAAACATCTTCAGTATTTTTATTGAGAAAAGTAAATTAAGTATCTAATATGGTGGGGACCCTACTTATAAGTGGAAACAGGCCTGACAAAAATTATGTGCCAATAACAGTCAGTTTAGTCTCAGTGTAAGAGCTCGGGTTCCCTTAAACTCAGTAAAATCACACAGAGCTGAAGATAATAGAATTCACAATGAGCAACGACAAAGGTTGTGAATGTGTCTGCACGACTAGGAAGGAAGCACAAGTGTGCACCCTCTCCCATCCTGCACCCTGGGCCCCTTCATTCCCAAAGCCTCTGCCTCCACAGCATCACCGATGCTGGACACTGCGCCATTTCCAAATGCCAGCACTAGAGGTCGCCCCTCTCCAACATTAGGCTCAGCTTCAAGGGTAAGGGGAGAAGCCCGCCCAGAGTGGGCAGCACCTGTCCTGCCCCACTTCCCCAGGGAGTCCAGAGCCCAAGCAGCTGCTGGGGGGGGGGGGGGCGGCGGGAGGGCTGGAGAATGCAGACCCTTCCCACAGGAATGAATTGGGAGCCATAAAAACCCTGCAAGAGTGGGTGTGTAGGGGGGTCTCCCCTGCAGGGAGAAAAGATCAAACAGTGACACTGAAGGGCTGACACCCGCATCCACACGGACACCAAATTTCACTTGGGCAGATGTGACAGCCTCAGTGTGACCGTGGCACCTAGGGTGCCAGCTTGAGTGGCCTGTGGAGAAAAGGTTTTGCTGTCCCTTGATATTGGGAAGTGGCTACCCTGCTTCCTCCTAAGAGGGAAGACAGGGGCCGCATACGCCAGGCCACCCAGTCCTGCTGCTGGAGACGCAAGGGGCCACACCACACCACACCACAGCCCGGCTGCACAGAGCGCTGACCTATACCCAGCCCAGGCCCAGGTCTAGCCCACCACTTGGGGCAGATGGAGGAAATCTCAGGGCTCTGTGAGGTGACCTCTGACCTCTTTGTCCTGTCCAGAGGGCAAGGAGAGAACTGGTGACGTTGCAGCATGTCTTGAGGACAAGGACTGCCTCCAGGGGTCAGAGGGAATGCCGGCTGGCATCAGGCTGCTGGTTTAGTTCTAGTGTAATCTCTCGGCCCCATGGGGTTTTCTGGGGGCAGCAGGGAACAACCGGTGTAACAAGCAGCCGTGTCTTAGGCTCCTTGTCACCCTCAGCCTAGCCTGGAATCTCTGGACCTCATGGCCCTGTCCTTACATATGCAGCAAGCCTGGCCATCTTAACTCAGACAGGATCTGGCCAGTGAACTAGAGTGTAGGTCTGCCTGGGAAGCACCCTCTTTGTCCTCACTAGGCCTCTCTTAGGAGAGAAAGCTTGAGCCAGGCTGCTGCCACAGTGGTTATGAGGGCACCCCGGGCCTCCCTTCTGCAGAGTGTATCCCAAGAGGACAGAAGACCAAGTAAAAGCCAGTGAAGGTGTTTTGCCCCTATCTCACCTTCCAGTTTACACAGCTGCGCCTTAGAGGCTGCATGGGCTTTTGTTGTGTTGTTTTGTAAGACAAGGTCTCACTGTGTACTTCAGGCTGGTCTAGCACTCATCATGTAGTCCAGTGTGGCTTCAAACGTCCAGCAATCCTCCTGTTTCAGCCTCCTGAGTGCTGGGGTTACAGGTGTGCACCACCACACCTGGCTTCTTAGGGCAGCCTCGCACCTGAGGTGGTGCCTCCCTAAAGGTTGCATTCTTGGGGCCTTGCTTGCCCTGGGTAATACTGGCTGGCTTCTCAGACTCCTGTTGCCCTGTGTGGACCCTCCCTTCTGCCATCCCGGGCTTTCATCTCTATCAAGACCTGGTCCCACAAAAGGTGGCACCACAGCCACACATTCCTTGGAGTGAATGCCTGCCTGCCTCCCCAGGAGTGAGCAGCTGCGTCACCTGGCCACGGACCGTACAGTGTGATGTGTGATCCCAAAACAGATGTGTGCTTACATTTCATGATAGTGCAAGTCGTGTTGCCACTAATCCCCTCAATCTCCTGTCTTGACACATTCCTGCCAAGACATGGGTCTTGCCACTTTCTGAAGCAGTCCTGGTGTCCTGGCTGCTTCATGAACTCAAAATATTGCCCTTTCATGGTCATTTGGATCTGGAGGAGAGCAGGAGTCACCCAGTACCATATCCAGTGAATAAGGTAGATGAGAACACAGCATCACGCTTTCACAACCCTGCCTTTCTGTTGGACAGTGCTGGGAAACAGCATTCACCATGTTTTTGATCACATCTTGTAAAGGTACTCAGTAAAGAGGACTTCCAGAATTGCTTCAGAAAGTGGGAAGAGTGATAGGAGTATTGTGTTCAAATTGAGAGGGGATTTCTGAGGGGGATTCATGGCAATATGTCTTCTATTGTAATAGATTTTTAAAATTTAAACATTCACATGTATCATGATCATATTTCTTATACTTTGTTTTAATTACTGAAAGGTTTCTACTTTTCACATTAGAAAATGTTAAAACTATATATGCTGCCTCGCGATAGGAATGTTAATCAATTCTAAGTAGAAGCAGAATGTAACAGTGTATCTTTATCACTCATAAAGTTATGTTTGGAGAACCCAAAAAATGAGTTGAATTGTGGGACACAGAAGCAGTGTGATTTCTTGTGTTGGTCATATTTGTGTCACTGTGACAAAAATACCTGTCATAAACAATTTAAGGGAGTAAAGATGCACTGGGCTCATGGCTTCAGAGGTGTCAGTCCATGGTGAGTTGGCTCTGTTGCTGGGGGCCTGAAGTGAGGCAGAATCATCATGGAAGAAGGGAGTAATGGAGCAAAACTGCTCACTTCATGACACTAGGGAAGGAGAAAGAGAGAGAGAGAGAGAGACAGACAGACAGACAGAGAAAGGAGTGCCGGAGACAAGCTATACCCCACCAAGGCACAAGCTGAACCCCTCATCCTGTTTTTCCTTCCTGGTTGCTAGCTCACTCAGCTATGAACTCATCATGGATGCATTCCTTTCTTCTCTCTCCTTCTCGTATTAACTTTCTCGTTTTCTTTCAAGATCTGTCTGATGGGAACATCATTTGGGGAGAAGCGATTAAGCCAGATAGATACATCCATTAGGGTGACATGATTGCCAGGCCTTGTTCCCAGACCCTGCTCCTGGGGAACAGCTTCCCCTGCAAACTGGCCTAGTCCCAGGCCACTTGGAGTCTCTTTGAATAGACTTTTCAGTTTCAAATACAAGCCACTTGGAACCCTTTCTGTCTCTCTCAGATAAAAACCGTTTTTCCCAAATAAATATATTCTACTCTTAACTTCCATTATTCATAAAATTCATTCTTTAATTTTAGAGAACATGACTCATATCAGACATCTAGCAGGCTGAAAGTTTCTTTCTCCTATATCGTTTGGAGGTCTTCCACCAAGATAATTGGTTTCATGAATTCTGGGTTGCTTTTGTTTCATAGATTCTGGATTGGGGCCTAAAGGTAACCAAAATTTTTTATGTTTCAAATTTTGCTATGTCTTTTCCCATTGCTTATAATTGCTTATGCTTTGTCTCTTATATAGTTTTGATAACGATGATAAATTTAAATTAAAAACATAGCAATGTCATGAGGTTATGATGCTTCTTTAATGGGGCACTTTTTTTGTTTGTTTTTCTGGTACCAAGGATTGAACTCATGATCTCACCAGGCAAGCACTTGTGCCACCGAACTAAATCCATGGCCCCTAATGGGACATTTTTTATTCCTGTTTTTTGTACATTGCATTTGAACTAGTTGCTGAATTTACTGATGTTCTTTGCTTTAGACCACAGCACTAAGAAAAGTAATGCTAGAGCATCACCTAGTGGATTTCTATATAAAATTCTGTAAAATGGGTTGTTTCATGAAATCTAGTTCAGACTTAGAAAATACACATGCCTATTAATAAACATGGAACTCCTTCCACCAGTTAAAAGGTGCTAGGGTGGTGGCCATTCTTAAGATTTGCAGGACAGGTTTTACTGGGACAGACTGGCTCTGATCCCCCAGTACACTCTAGAGGAAATGTTGAGCCTGGTCTGCCCCAGTTTCCTTTCTGATCTGATCTTTCTCTGCTCAGAGACAATCTTAGCTCTTGAGACTGCCCATTCTCCCCTCTCCAGGCTAAGAGTGAGTCTCATGGGCAAGCTGTTTCAATAACTCACCATGAGCATGAGAAGAAAAGACTTCTCTGACCTCTTCTCCTGCCACTTTGCACTTTCCTTTTTTAGTTGAGGCTTGCAAGATTAGAGAGAAGAACTCTAAATTACCCCAACATATTTTACAACCCAACAAGTAAGTTAAGCCCATAGAAAGTAAGTGTTTGCTAACACCAAAGACAGAAAAGTCATCTTAGATGAAAGACACACACCCTGTTTCTGGGTCAGATGAAACATCTGAATTCCACCCACCCAGGAGAACACACACGAAAGCCATGTGCTGACTTAGTGTTCTGCGCAAGTTTCCCTCTGGAAAATTGAACCTGAGACACAGTGGAAAGAATCAACTTCTGGGTGAAACCAGAAGGAGCTATTTCCAAGGCACCACACTTTTGGGACCAAACACATTTAGCCTAAGGGAGGATCTCCAACCTTCCCTCTTCCCTCCTAGGTCTAGTTATCATATATGTGTATAGGAGAAAAATACTTTGATAAGAAGTTGTGGACTTTGAAATCTTTATCATAAACTTATGAAGTGCTAGGTAATGATTTTGCCCTAGTTTTACCTATCCCCTGTAGAACTTCCACAAATAGGGGTTACTCTGCCAGCTAGGTAAACACTCTAAGAGCAGTAGGCACTCTTTATAAAAAAACTTTTTTTAAAGAGAATAAAATCAAAACAGAATAAATTCAATCAGAATAGAACAATAAAAGCAAAATAATAGGAAATCAACAATGGCCACCATAATGTCTCATTTTCTTCAAAATAGCTGTCTATACCATCAGACATAATAAAACAAAATTAAACAAAACAATAAAACCAATCAAAACAAGAGAATAAACATGTATTTTAAAGAGAATAAACCAAACCAAAAAAAACAGAATAAAGACAATCAAAACAAAACAGTGACGGTGATGCAAGACTTCAAAATAGGACAATAGGAAGTCAGCAATGGCTACCATAATGCCTCTTGTTATCTTCAAAATTGTCACCTATACCATCAGACATAACAAAATTAAACAGAACAGAACAAAATAAAACCAACTGAAACAGTACATTGAATAAAACAAAACAATAAAACAGAAAGAAACACAACAATGACAACAATATTGGATTTCAAAAACAAAACAAAAGGAAGTCCCCCATATTTGCTACATTGCACACTGTTGTCCTCTCAATGGATGCCCAGACCACCAGCCTCAGGCCTGCAAAGCCAACCAAACAACAGAAGCATTAAGTGGTTTCGGCAACTCAGATTCTATCAACTCAGTCTGTCCTCTGAATCAGCTGTTTGCTTCTGCGGTGGGGAGAGGGTTCTTGTCTTCCAGCCCATGGGAAGGGTGAATTGGCTTCTTGTTCTTCTTATGAATCCTCCCTGCTCCAGCACAGCTTCCACTGATTCAAGGGAAGGGCCCACTGGCCACAACTGCCACTCCTGAAACAGAGGACATACTTTCCCAGCATCTTCTGTGACTCCCCAGTGAAGCCAGTGACCACTGACCAATGGGATGCTGACCAGATAGGTAGCTGGATTCCTTTCTGGAGACTGATCTCTGGTTGCAACAAGCAATAAAAACAGAACAACTGAGGGGTCATGGCCAGTGCTAGTCTTTGGTGGACACTCAAAGGTTCTTCAGTGGAAACTGGCTCCTATTTATCTATTTATGCTTATCTCAAAGAAAATCTCAACTTATCTATTATACTTATTTCTTTTTGCTAGTAAATTAAAAGCTCCCCCTAAGCTTTTGAGTTCACTTGAGAACCATTTTGTGGTTAGACTGCCCCTCCAGAAATCAGGCTGCGGCAGCTTGGAACAACTGTTTGCCTTTTGCAGCAGCTATCAGGGAAATGATTTACATTCGTGCCTTACAAATGCTAACTAAGAATAAGAAAGAGATTTTAGTCAGCCTTTTTCTTTCACATTCACATAGAAGACCAATAAGTATGTCTTTACTAACATGTACATTGTGATTGCTAGATGATAAATGTAAGTTTAACCTGTGAGCTTCAAAGACATAAAAATTTAAATAAAGCATAACCTTGTGGCAAAAGTTGCCTAGTTGATTAGACAGATAACACAAGTGTCTTTGAAACTTCTTTGCCATAGGGCACAAGGCAGAATTCCTCAAGTCAATTGTTGCTTCTATCTATTTCTAAAGGTGATCTCTTTACAAGTTGAGAAGCCTCCAACTATTTCCAACTTACTTTTTGGTACGTGTGCTCTTTCAAAGAACAAAAAAAAATAGTTTAATGCTAAGCAATACTTCTTTCTTTAAACATGACTGCCACAGTTGAGACCAATTGTAACGTGTTTATAAAAGTGCCTACAGGAATAAATACACAAGCTCCCTGGGAAGATGAAATTGTGCACCAATGTGAGGTGGGCAGGCTGGTTGATTTGTTTCCTAGTCTCTCTCCAGATGGCATCCGCCTGCCTGGAGTGAAATCAACCTGAGAGACAACCATGAGGGTATAGCACTAAAATAGAAACTAAAAGGGATACCTTATTCTTTCTCTTTGCATTTCAGAAATAGAGAATTTAGTTCAAGTCTCTTACTCCTTTGAATGTGTCCTTAAGCACTGGAAGACGTTTGATCCATACATATTGAAAAAGATATTTTTTTTGTCTTTTTCCTTTTTATCAGTACCAGGGATCGAACTCTGATAATTTTTCCTGCACATATGCATGGCCTAACTATCCTCTAGAGCTAAAATGGAATGCAAAGAGAGGTATTATGATGCTCTTTAATAACTAAAACCACACTGTAGGAATGATGAAAAATGTTCAGAATTGCCTTATGTTCAAATTTTCTTTACATTAAGAACTGACTCTTATTTATGCTAAGTATAATTATGATCATATGAAACTACCCACATTCATATGTCTCTTTCTCTCAGAGACCTAAAACAGATCAAGGTGGAGCTAGGAAAATTTTCAGATAACCCTGATACGTACATTGAGGTCTTCAGAGGGTTTATTTAGATGTATAAGCTAGACTGGAAAGATGAAATATTGATCTTAAATTGAACATTAACTTCTTTTTTTAAGGAGAAGAAAAACAGAAAAAGGGTACAAGTTATACAGAATTTAAAAAAAAAACAAACAGTAGGGAATCACTAGTTAATAGATTATATATTGTCATCTTAGAAATAGTTGTTCAAGTTACAAAATTAAAGCATATAAAGTGGACATTCAAACAGTGAGACTGCAAACAGTTCTGTTCAATGATCTAACAAAAACTCAGTAATATGGTTATCTATCTTATGCGCTTAAATATACATGCAATTATATCCTTTAGAGCACTTTCTTTTCCTCTCTTTTTTACAATGACAATTACACATTTTGGGTTTTATTACTCTCACAGTTCTTATTACTTTTTTTTTGAAGAGAATAAAACCAAATATGACATAACAAAACAGAGTCAGTCAAATCAAAAGGATGGACATAGTACATAATATAAAAACAGAATACAAGGTGATCAACAAAGGTTGCCATAATGCCTCTTGCTATCTTAAAAAGAACTGCCTGTATCATCAGTTATAATGAAATTAAATAAAACCAAAACATTGTAGACATTACAGGACTTCAAAAGAAGATAATAGTCAAACCAGAATGGGCATCATAGTGAATCTTACTGTCTTCACAGTTGTCTTCACTCTCAAACTTGGTACTATCAAGCAAAACGGAATAGAGGAAAATCAGTCAAAACAAGATGATGAGAGCAATACAGGGTTTCAAAGCAAGTTAATAGGAAATCAAAGTGGGTTACTATAATATATCCTATTTTTTATTTATTTTTTCCCTTAATTAAAAAGATAAAAATAAAAAATAATAAAAAAGGAGATTGAGATAAAAGAGGACATAACAACAAAATAGCACAGGTCAGAACATAACCATTTAAGCAAAATAGTGTTTCACCACAAGATATGCTGACATAAAAGTAGTTACCATAGTGTATCTTTCCTTGAAATCTTTGAGAATTACTGAGTTTTGTTGGATCATTGAACAAAACTATTTGCAGTCTCACTGTTTGAAAGTCCCCTCTATATACTTTAATTTTGTAACTTCAACAACTATTTCTAAGATGACATATGTAATTAACTAGTGATTTCCTACTGTTTATTTTTTTTCTGAAATTCTGTATAACTTGTACCCTTTTTCTGTTTTTTTTCTTTTTTCTCCTTAAACAAAATTAAAAAAAAAAAGAAATTTTTCCTTTCATGCTCCCACATTACAAATCTGTCCTCCAGTTCAGATAATCTAACCTTAGTTTCTTTCAAGCTGTTATGCCAGCTTTCAATAGAGTTTTTAGTTTCCTGGTAATCTCTTTGAACCTGCTTCATGTATTCTACGTTTTCTCTATTTTCTCCATCAAACAATTCTCCCCTTTTTTTTCTGTTCTTCCATTCCACCATCTGTTTTTTTCTTGGGAGGTGCTTAGCATTTCTTTAACTATTCTACTTATATCTTGCTTTACTTGGTTAAATACTTCACTTTTGAACTCGTCTATGAGATCCCGGAGATATCACTTTATGTCTATTGGTGCCATGCCTGATACTGCATGTTTTCTGTCCTCATTCTCCTTTGCATTTACCTTTCCTAGATCAGTGTTCTCAGGATTGGAGACTGAGGACCCTTTCTTGTTGCTCCCTCTTCTCATACTTTTTGTTTCTTCCATACAAGCATATATAGGAGGCCCAGTTTTTTTCTTTGTCGGTTACAGTTTGTTTGAATCATGCCTGCTAGGTGTTCCCGCCCACTGCAGTGTACTAGGGAGACACAGACCTGGGCAGCCTCTGCTGGGCCCGCCCCTCCATGTCAGTCAACCTGCTGAAGGCTTCACTGCATTAGGGTGCACTGCCAGCCGCAGAGACCTGGTTTGGGCTAGCCTAATGGGTCTTAGTCATGGCTTCTCCCAGGTCAAGTGCTCCCCACCAATCCCGCTTGAGGGGAGAATATATGACTGAAGTGACTGCAGTGTCCTGTTCTGGCTAGTCTTCCTGGTCCCAGAATGTCCTCTGTTGGAGCCTCCTAGTCTATGGTAGGGATCCCCATTCCTTTCACTCACTGCAGGTCGATGCAGAGCTCCCCACCAGCTTTGCTCTCAATTCAGTTCACCAATTCCCACTGTCAGAGCTTTCACATCTCTGTCTCTGCTGTGCCAAATCAGATGCAGCAGCGGTGGCAGGAAATTCAAGCCGCGATTTCCAGAGGCATGGGTTCCAGCTTTGGCACTGAGACTTAGCTGTTCCAGTCATAGCACTGGGATTGCATTTCCAGTTGGTTTCTCTCAGCTTTGTTCATTCCTGGGGCAGCAGGGTATATTTCCCCCTGCTTAGGACTCCTCACACCGCACCATTCCTGGAATCTAAGCTGGTTATCTCAGAGAGCCTCCATAGCTGCTGTAATCTATCCGCCATGTTCTCCCAGAAGTCCTCAAACATTGACTTCTAATGAGAAACAAGCAGCATTACAAGCTACTACTACACTTGGGGATGAATATCATATTGTTAATTTTAGACAGGCAGAAAATTGGCAGCTTGGGGAACAACTAGTTCCCACTGGAGCCTAAGCAGTCCCTACTCAGGATTGCTGCTAGTCTAAGAGCCAGACAATAGATTCAAGTAAGACATTTTCTTTTCAAGTATGTATTCTTGAATGTCTAAGAAGGATGAAAACTAATACCTCTACTTGTTTTAAATTGTTAACTATTCATCAGGAAAAAAATGAGAACTCCTCTGCCTTCTTAGATCATTTACAAGAAGCATTGATAAAATATATATTCATTTCTCCTGATTTGATAGAAACACACATTATTATTAAAGATGAGTTTATTACTAAGTCAGCTCCAAAAGAAAAAATTGCAAAAGATAACTTTTGCTCCAGATAGTAAAGACTGCCTCCTCAGTATATAATTGAGACTGGGAGAAAGTGAAGGAGAGAAACAAAGGGGCAAAAAAATGGGTGCCTTTATTTAAGACTTAAAAGAAACCAGACTGTAAATCTGATTCTTGGAGCACCAGGAAGAGCTCAATGACAAAACTCACCTGCTACCACTGTGAAAAGCCAGGCCGCCTCAGAGGGTGACCTTTAGAGACTCCCACACAAAGAAAGCCCTGACCATAAAGGCCACCAGTGGAAGTGACTGCACTCTGAGGCAGAGGCCCCAGAGCTCAGCCTCATCTCCCAGCTGGTCTAGCAAGACTGAAAGGCCCTGGGCACTGTGTCTCCTCCCTCTGGCCAGCTGGCCATACCACCCGTCATCTCCATGGAGGAGGCCCAAGTAATTATAACTAAAGAGAAAAAAACCAGCCTATTGCTGGACATTTGCACATGTCTCTTGGTCCTTCCAGCTGTCATACCTCAATAAAAGGAGTCACCAAAAAAATAAGATAACTCATTTAAACTGCAACAGGGAGCCCAGCTTCCACTGTGAGGAAAGATATTTTATCATTTCTAAGTTGTATCTGTATGTAGTATATATACCCAGGTTGCTAGCCAATCAAAATGATGCTGATTACAACAGTGTCCGAGAGAGAAAAAAAGTGAAAAAAAATGATGCTGAGACTGGTTTTACAAATATAGTACATATTGTGGTCTATGTACAATAACTTTAGAGTTTTTCACTGGTCAAAATAATGCATTACTTGTTGTAATCTGGTTCTCCGAGGTCTCCAAAATTTTTGATTACAGCTAAAATTGGAGGGATTTATGATAAAATGTCAGACTCCATCAATAGAGGACTCTAAGAGCCTGTTAACTATTCCAGTCCCTTAAGAACAGTTTCTAGGCTTGGTTTTTTCCCCAATCCACCTGTCCATTCAAGTGCTCATGCTCTAATTTCTCAAAAATGTGTTTATTTTTAGCTAGAGGCTGCCAAACCCCAAGTGATAAAACCAATGACAAATATGGTAGGCTCCTTTTACTGGGACCCAGCAGACTGACCTTGCTGAAAGATGCTTATATGACACATGGAAATCTTAACTATATTCAGCAGGCCTTAACATTGCAGCTGGTCTCTTTCTCCTAAATAAAAAAAGTAAAATAAAATTAATGAAGCAATACACCTTCCAAAATCAGACAGCCTTAGAGATTTTAACAGCAGCACAGGGATGTACTTAAGCAATTGTAAAAACTGAATGTTGTGTGTACATTTCTGATCCTCTGCTAGTATCTCAATGGATGCTCAAGCTATTAGATGACAAATTAATGCATGTCAGACTCTGAAATTCCCTGGACCTTCTTCTTATACTCTTTATGAGAAGCTATATCTAGCTCTTCCAAGTGGAAATCTTTGTTGATTATACTTACAATAATCCTGTTGATCTTATTATGTGGCCCATGCATACTTAATTATTTCTTCAACTTTGTCTCCTTCAGACTTAAAGCTGTGCACCTACCCAAGACAAGTGAATGCCTGGTGTCTAGGGAAGGCCTTTAGATAGACCCTCTGAAGATACTGCTGATCACAACTATGACTCCCTTCAGAAGACTGAAGAAGTCAGATTGGTCATTACTTACTGCTTCCTCATATCAGTTTGGGGTACTTCTTTAGAGAGGGGAATGATATAGGCAGTACGTTAGGTAGAAATATTACAGGCAGTCAGACAGGACTGGGCCCTTGAAGGAACCAGTGCAGGAGACAGGATCTACTGCACCTATGGGGGTGACATGGACACTTCTGCTGAGGGCCAGACCACAAGACTAAAGATGAAACCAATGCACCCACATCCTTCCCCTAAGGATAAGCAGCAATGTTTGATGTTCTAAATAGACACTGATTACCTTGGGAAAGCCAAGAAGAGCTCACTGACCCAGTCTCTCCAGGAAAGTCCCTATTCTCTTTTGTGCCCACTTGCTTTGTGACTTGCTTCCCCATTGGATCACCATTTAATCAATATTACTGAGTAATTATGCTCATAATCTTAATGGTTGACTATAGTTTTATCCTACTTCATGCCCACCTTGTGGTTTTACATTTTTGCTCACCTTGAATCTGCCTCACTTTTTGGTTTTGCTCTATAAAAATACCTTGAGGGTCAGGGATGTCGCTCAGTGGCACAGTGCCTATCTGGTAAGCAAGGTCATGAGTTCCATCCCTGGTACAAAAAAAAAAGTACATAAAATAAAGTAAATAAAGATCCCTTGAAAAGACAGGGTCTTTGGCAGCCCACTCAAGACTCCTTCTGTCTCTCAGGAGCTTTCTTTCGCAAAAAAAAAAAAAAAAAAAGAAAACAGGAAAAAAGAAAAAGAAACTCTCATACTGGCCATGCGATTATGTCTAAAACATATTTATCAAGGTGACACGTATGTGGCAATCACACCTGCAGATTGCTCCGGTACAGGGCAGTTGCCTGGTAATATGTACCTCTCACTTGTTATTTTTATCTGTTACTGGTTCAAAATTGGACTTAGTGTCTCTGTGGGTGGTTGGCGGTAAGCACTAACTTAAGTCTTTCACCCCTGAGGGCCTTATCTGTTATCATGGACCGTTTTAAGGAGATGCTGTCACTGACACTGTGACACCTGTGGAAAGGGCGTGAAAGGCATCACCACCGTGTCTGTCTCACCCAGTTCAGACACAGGAGACTCTGTGGGTCCTCAGGGTCCTCAGAATGATTAGACTGCTGTCCTGAAGCAACTGATGAGACCCTGGCCTTGGTGACTGTTATGGTTGATACAGATTGGCACTGTAAAAACAGAGCATACCAGCGAGACTGCTTTTGATAGGAGTTTGTATAAAAAATTAGCTGAGCACAGGCTTAGCTGAGTCAGATGGGGAAAAGCAAATGTACAAGGTCTAGTAAGCGGGGAGAGCCAGATGTGGTGGTGCACACCTATAATCCTAACATTCTGGGAGGCTGAGGCAAGAGGATCACAAGTTTGAGTCCAGACTGGTCAATTTAGCTACTTAGCCTCCTCAAAATAAGACCCGGCCTCAAAATAAAAAATAAGAGGACTGGGGATAGAGCTCAGGGTGAAGGCCTTAGGTTCCATTCCCAGTACCACAAGAGGAGGAGGGGAGAGGAAGAGGGGCACTTAGACATCCCATCAAGCTACTGACCTGGAGAAACTGGCACATGGTCCCAGAGTAGTGGGCAAAAGTGCTCACTGAAATATTTTCTGCAGGAGCAGGAAACTGGAAACGACCTAAATGCCCATCAGCAGGAGTAGGAATAAGCACATTGTAGAAAATTCAGTGGGTCGCTAAACAGCAGTGAAAACGAAGCAGTATCTGTAAATCTCACAAACTTACGTCTTAGAAAGACACGCACGTGTGTCACACTTGTTATTGATAGATTTTTCTTGGCGTGGTAGAGAAGACAGGAAAAGAAGAAAAAGGCCTTTACTGCCAGCCTGGGGGGCGCTGCAGAGTGCAAGCTCCCTCCGCGGTAGACAAACCAGCAGTGAGCTGCGGGCCTTTATCAGGTTTGACAGGGGCGGGCAGAATGACGTATTGATAGATGATTGAGGGGACGCTGACGCAGCACAGAGCAGGAAGGCCAAGCTCGGGGTTGGAAGAAGGTGACAGTCAGTGTGGGGGGCACACGCGGTCCCTAGGGTCCAGCGCGGTGTTGGGGGGGCGCCACGCCGAGATTCATACTGGCGGAACCCATCAGATAGGAAGTTTAAGACGCAGAACAATGCCAGCTCCTGCCTCTGATTTATATATTTGGACAATAAAAATCTGCGCGTCAAACTGATAGCAATTTGTTTGGTATCTCGAAGAGGAACAATAATGTCATATTTTCTAGGGGCCGCATGCTTTTTTATCAGTCCGTGTTTACAGTACATAGTGATTACATTCCTGCTGGGGAGTTGGTGCACCCCGTGACATCTTAGTTCTTTTTATGTCTCCTTTCTCTCCCCTCCCTTCACCTCCCTCCTGTTTGAAAAAGAGCTGTCTCCCTACTTATTATGTACCTTTACTCTTTACTTAAACTTTGAGGATTTTTCTTTCTTTTTTGTTTGTCTTTTTGAGACAGGGTCTCACTCTGCAGTTCAGGCTGGCCTTGCGCTCACTCGGGAGCTGAGGCTGGCCTCAAATTCATGGTGATCCCCCTGCCTCAGCCTCCTGGATGCTGAGATTACAGGTGTATGCCACCAGGCCTGGCCTCTTTTCTTTTTTGTCTTCTGTTTTTTTCTGAAGTCTGTGTGGCCTGGCCCTGTGTCTACTACGCTGTGGAACGTCAGGTCTGCAGTCCTAGGATGGAGGCGGGGCCTCGCCCTGGGCATGGGCGCCAGGATGGAGGCAGGGCCTCGCCCTGGGCATGGGCGCCTCCTGGAGCCTTGCTGCCTGCCTCTGTCACCTCCTGTATCTTGTCCTTCCTTTTTGGTTCTTGCTGTTTCTCATTCTCTCCCAGATTTCCTCTCCTCACCCACCAGTACTTCAACTCCTATCTCTAACCTCCCCCATGCATTTATGTTACATTTATACATTTTAATTTGCCTTCCGAAGTGTTATTTACATGGCTTAGAATTTACCCATTTCAAGGGTACAGTTGAGTGAGTTGTGACAAATATATTTACCTGCGGGTGGGGGACCACACTGAAATCAAGAGAGAAAATCTCTGCCACACACATTCGCTACCCAGTCCCCTCCTCCTGGGTACCAGCAACCACTGATTCGCTGTGGGTAGTGTAGGGCGTGTTTTCTTTTCATCACTGTTGTATGAAGAATGCCACGTATACAACTGCAGTAGGAGGCCGGGCAGGGCAGTGTGGCCGGAGCAGCTGGCCCTGACTCATGGAAGAGACTCCTTGACCATAGGCACAGAGCAGCACAAATCACCACAAATCAGGGACTGTGGGCACCAGCCTAGTCCATGCAGCACAGCCCCTGCCCTTCTGGGAATCTTCCTGGGAGAGTTAAAGGCACGGTATTACGATGATCCACACACACGGGCATCTGCAGCAAAACCCTTAAGAGCTGACTAGGAGTGACCTACGTGTCCACCAGCAGAAGAATGGATAAAGAAAACGTGATGTTTCCACACAGTGGAGTGCAGCTCTTCCATAAAGAAGAATAAGAGTCGTTTGTAGGAAACAGTGCACCTGGAGACCCTGACGTCCCGTGAAATCATGTGCACAAACTTAAATATCGCATGGCTTCTCTTCTATGTGAAACCAAAAATATAAAAGAAAGAGGAAAGTAAAAGATGTATGATAAGAAAGGGGGTCCTGGATCTTTTCAGATGGGAAGGAGCCCAAGGCAGGGAGGGGAGAGAAAGGGATGAAAAAAGAATTAAGCTGTGTTTGGTACAAGTCCCAGCTCCCCACAAGGAGTGTAGTCATCACACACTGGATTCATAGGCTAATAAAACTGAATAAAACTAAAAATACCAAGACAGGCAAAAATAAGCACAGAGCGCCATATAAACCAGAGGCGGCGGCGCATGCCTGTGATTCCCGTTCCCGGGAGGAGGCAAGACACAAGTTCAAGGCCAGCCTGTGCAAATACATGAGACTCTATCACACACAGTCATTTTATTAAAGGGCCAGAACCTTGTTGCTCAGTGCTCCCTAGGTTCAGTTTCCAGTAGTGAAAAACATCCTTCTAAACAATGATTCCTTTCACTTAGCAAGCTTTTGAAATTCATCTGCTATTAGAGTTTCCCTATTTTGTTATTTTTTGTCCCTGAGTAGTGTTTCATCGTATGAGTTCACCAAAGTTTGTTTATCTATTCACCAGTAGATACTGACGGGTATTTAAGTTGTTTATGGTTTGAGTGATCACAGATATGGCTGCGATGGACATTTCTATAGCAGATATTAAGGGGATATATGTATTTAATTTTCTTTGGAGTGGCATTGCTGCGTTTTATGTGTTTAACTTCATTAAAAAACTTGACCAGATTTTTTCCAAAATGGTTGTAATTATTCTGCATTCACACCAGCAACCTGTGTGATCCTGTTTTTTTATACCCTTCCTAACACTCAGTAAGTCTTTTTAACTTTAACCAGTCTAGTGTGTAGTGATAGCTCACTGAGAGAGAGAGTGTGTGTGTGTGTGTGTGTGTGTGCATTCACCAGTGTGTTTTTTGCTTGGTGGTACTGCAGATTGAACCCAGGCCTCTGACTGAGCTACATCCCCAGCCTTATTTTTAATGTTTAATTAAACATTTAATGTTTAAGTTACTGAGTTGCCCAGATGAGATCTCCCTGCCTCAGCTTCCCAGTACTGGTGTGTGCCATTTAACGTTCATCTTCCCAGGGATTAATGGTGTTGAGCATTTTTCTTGTGATTTTTTAGCCATTTACATATCTTCTTTGATGGAGTATCTAGTCAATGTTTTGTTTATTTCTTCAATCAAATTATTTATCTTCCTATTACTGAATTGTAAAAGTTCTTTTCTTAGACTACAAACAAGACTTTGATCAGCTATACTTGCAAATATTTTTCTTCCAGTTCATGTTTTGCCTTTTTGTTTTCTGAATGCCTTTCAGAGAACTTTTTTAAAAAATTAATAAAGCCTAACTGGTAATTTCTCTTTTATGGCTCTCTCTCTCTGTCTCTCTTTTACCCAACTCAAGATTACAAATATTCTGCTCTAGATTTTCTTCTAAAGTTTTAGTGTTTTATAGTCTTATCTGTGACCCATTTCAAGTTAACATGGAGGTGTGGTAAGGATGAAGATTTTAAATATAGGTGTCTGTGGACATTTGTTAAGGATACTTGCAGCTATCCTCCCCGCCGCCCAAGATTATTTTAGCACATCAGTCAAAACTCAGCCAGACACAAAGGCTCCTTCAGGGCCCCTTTTCTCTCTGACCTCTGTATCTGTTCTTCGTACTACTACCACACTTTCTTGACTACTGAGCCTCACACTACTTTGTGAAGTCAGAGTGTGCAAGTTCTCCAACTTTACTGCTCTTTTCCAAAGTTGTTTTAATATTCAATTATTTGCAACTCCATACAAATTTTAACTAGCTTATCAAATTCACAGCAAACACAAAACCTGTTGACATTTTGATTGGGTTAAGCTTGTAGACTGATTTGGGGAGAAGTGACATCCAAATGATTTTGACTCCTTTGATAGCTAGTGTGTTACACATTTTCCTGTCCGTTTAGTTTTAACCCATGTATGTCTTCAAATTTGAAAAAATTTTTTGTTTTGTAGGTAACGTATAGTTAAGTCTTGCATTCCGCATAAAATCTGACAATCTTTGTGCTTTCATGAGAGTGTTTAGGTAATTACCATTACATATAATTTTGAATGTAATAAGCAGATACAGTATAATCATGAAAAATCCTCAATCTAAAAAAAGATGGGAAGAGAAGAAAAGAAAAAGTACAGAAGAGATAGAAAACAATAGTTAAGCCCATAGATTTAAGCCTGAATACATGATATATCATTATTATCACAGGTACATAATTTTTGGTTGATACACTTATTAAAGACTCAACTTCATTATTTCTAGCTTGCATGTTCATGATGACAAATCTGTTGTCACTTATCTTTGTTTCTGTGAGGGGCTTTTTATGTCTTTTTAAATTTTTGATATTTTTAATTTTCATCAGATTGCCTCTGACACCCCCAGTTAGCGATTTTTTTTTCTTTTTTCCTTTTTATCGGTACCGGGGATCGAACTCACAACTGCCTGCTTGCAAGGCAGGTACTTATGCCGCTGAGCTAAATCCCCAGCCCCAACAATTTTTCTTTGTGTTAAACTTTCTTTTAGTTTTCTCTGCCTGTCAACTCTGTGACTTGGCCTTTATTTTTGTTTTTCTCTTTCATTAACTTTGAAAAATTCTCAACTATCTCTGCAGATATTTCTTCTTCCCACATTTTCTGTCATATCTTCTTTTGGGATCCAGGTGACATTTATGATAGCATTTAACATTGTCCAGACCTCTTGGACGTGTGCTGTCACTTTTACCCCTTATTTCTGTTTGTGTTTTCTTGATCTATTTTTAAATTCATTGATTCAGTGCACTGTGGTGGTGCGTGCCTGTAATCCCAGCACTCGGGAGGCTGAAGCAGGAGGATCACCAGGAGTCTGAGGACAGTTTGGGCTCAAAGTGAGTTCAAGCCCAGCCTGAACGGCATAGTGAAACCCTGTCTCACACACACGCACACACACCACACACACATGCACGAAGTTCACTGATTCTGTCTTTAGTATCCATTCAGACACTGATAACACTCTCAAAGTCATTTTTAACTTCTGATTGCCTTTCACTGTGGCATTTCCACGCAACTGTTTTGAACAGTTTTGATCTCTTTGATAAAACTTCTTATTTACATATGTTGTAACTTCCTCAATTAATTATAATTATTCCTTGTTTTTTATTGCCATTCTAAGACATTTTTGCAGACTTGCTGGTTTGAAACTACGTAAATTTGTTATATAAAATCCAGACTCAGAAACACAAGCATTGCCTGTATTTCATAATATGTAAAACCAAAAAACAGAACAAACAAGCAAACTAAGATAATATGAAAGAAACTTTTATAAGACAAGAAGAAGGAATGAGGGTACGCAGGGGTAACGGGAGAGGAATTTGGTCAAAATATAGTGTGTGCACCTATGAAAATGTCACAATGAAATCAAATACTTTATGAAATTATTATCCACTCCTCTATTTTCTTAAAATATCCCCTTCCAGTTCCAGAGGTCAGTGATCCAAACGAGTCTTCCAGGGGTAACATGAGGGACTGAAGGCCTGGATTGCTTTCTGGCGTTTTGCCTCTGGGAACACTTGGTTCCTTGCGGTTTCTAATTCACGGGATATTGTCAACACTGGTCTGTGCAACTCTCCCTTTTATTTATTTATATATTCCTTTCTGTCCAAGCTGCAACTTTTAATAGCATCCAACACAGACCGGGAAAAGACAAGCCCTGAAAACTAACGATTTGGCACTTTTACCATCTGGTGAGTTTTATAGTTACATCACAAAGTGTAGGGCAGATTAGAAAATTATAGGCAGTAAATATCCACGCAATAGAGGAATTTTACCCTAAGGGGAGAATATTAAAAAGGAGAAGATGAAAACATAGATAAATAAAAGAAGGAAAAGCGATTAGAAGCAAGGCTGAAGGATGGAGGAGGGTTACCCAGCCTCAGGAAACCGGTGCACAAGGCAGAGGGGAAGGGAAGGAGGGGGAAAGAAGGGCAAAACAAAACTACAGGGTTCCTGCTTCCCGTTTCCGCTCCCCTTTCCGCTTCCTCCATCAGGAAACATTCTAACGTGCTTAATCTGGTGAGGCAGGCACGCACCACCACGGCACTGTAGCTGCATAATTATCCAGGTAACTAAGCTTTTGCTTCCCATTGCTGTACACCCTGCAAGGCCTGCACACACCGTAATCTGTCTCCTTCCAGCTCCAGTGGTGGACGCCCAGGTTGCTGTCAACCCCGGACAGTGCAGGGATGGACAGCACCGCGTGACCCCTGTGGGCCGTGTGGACTCGGCCTGGAGACTCGCTAGGACCGCTGGGTCCCGGGGTTGGGTCATTTCACCGAATCCCGAGCCTCTGCAGAACGACCGCACTGCTCTCCTCCTGGCAGCAATTGGGAGGCTTCCTTTGCCCCGCAGCCCATAGTCAGCGTGGCCTTGTTCAGTTTGCTATGTCTGCCAGTCCAACAGGGATCCGGTGACATCTCTGTTGTCCCATTCCGCGTGCTCTCTGAGGACTGTTCTAAGTCATGGTGCCTTGTATCTGTGTGACTCTCCGTGGCTTTTTTTCTCTTACGGATCCTCACTGAAAATGTTTCCAGGCCCTCTTCAGAGCCCTGCGAGTACCATCCGGGCTTCTCATCTTGTTTGTTATCATCATCCGTGACACTCACGTGAAATCAGGTAACTAAGCCTCCCCCAGTCGTCAACTTGCACACGAAGGCGTTAGAACTTCAGACAGGCTACTGTCAGCAAGACTTTTGCTACCACAGCATCTAGTTTATTTTTAATTGCAATAAATAATTTAAAGTGGTAAAAGTTTAAATCAACATGTGTGGGGCACTGCACTCGAGAAGGAAAACCATTCCTGGCCAAGATCTTCGGCTTGGGAAATCAGGGGCATCCTGCCTTTCTCACAGAGGAGAGATGGACCGAGGTTGAGAGTTACCTACGCTTGTGTCCATGAATTATCTGTGCCTGTGAATCTGTGTGATTCTGAGAGGAGACTCAGACCTATGCTGTGGAAGATATTGGTTTAAGCATAAGCCTATAATTCTACCACTCTGGAAGCTGAGGCAGGAGGATCTCAAGCTTGAGGCCAGCCTGGACTATAGTGAAAACTTTGTCTCAAAAAAGAAAAAAGAAAGAAAGAAAAGAAAAAAGAAAGAGAAGGAAAGAAAGGAAGAAAGAAAAGAGAAACTAAAAAAGAAATTCACTCGAAAGTAGAATTTGGGAAGCCAATCATATAACAAACCAAATCAGATATGATGCAAATTTTTATAAGAACTTAAACTTTTCCAGCATTTGAGTATCATACTAAGATCCTGTGCTGATGCCACTACAGGCTGACAGCACACATCAAGCAGGGTCAACAGGAAGCCTCATAAGCCCCACGGGGGAAATTCTCCTAGAGCCAGGTCTGTGGTCAGATTTGCTTTTAGAGTTTCTGGAACTCTGGTCACGCGAAGTCCCAGAAACTGTTTGCAAGTATGAACCACGAGTCTCTCTGGTCTTCCTCTCGCTGTATTTCCATCCTGGTGCTTCCTGAGTTCTTCCTCCTCCTCCTTCTGCTCCAGCCTGATCTGCTAGTGGCCAGAGTTCGCTACAAATGAACTACACCTGACAAGAACAGTTTGCTGCTTTACCCCCACCAGCTCTCACGCATCCATGGGGTAGAGAAGAATGGGCTGTTGCAGTTTTAGAAGATTGGTCTGTTGGCCCACTCCACTTTTTTTGGTGTGAAGGAGGATTGAGCCCAGGGCCACTATGTATAGCTAGGCACTCTGCATATTCTGCAATTTGCACAAAATATCCCCCAAGAAGCACTGTTGGGGACTCAACACAAGCTCTGTGTCTCCTCTCAGACTGAGTTTTTCTGGAAGAAGGAGCAGCATAAAGATGTCTGGGCCACCAGAGGTCCCACAGATCAGGGTTGGATCTGGAAAGGCCAGACCCAAGGCTCAGGAAACGATGAGAATGGTCTGGGGCTGCTGGTCTGCCCTCAACACTAGATTCCCTGAGCACCCTGCAGAAATGTTGGGCGTGTGAAGTTCCCTAAAGGTAGCACATGAGAGTCTTCTAATCCTGAGGGAAAAGGCTACATTAATGGTGGCATTAGGCTGATATGTTGCCTCGCACCTATAATCCCAGCTCTGGTGAGGCTGAGACAGGAGGATTTCCGGAGCTTGAAGTCAGCCTAGGTTACATAGCAAGACCCTGTCTCAAAAAAACCAACATAAAAAAATTAGTGGTGGGGTGTAGGAAGGATTCTGTCTCCCGACAATGGGGCACTTGGCAATGTCTGGAGATAGTCTTGGTGGTCGTGATGGGGCTGCTACCAGTGCAGGAGAAGCTAAAGACTCCCCTGCAAAAGACGATCAGAGCCAGAGATCAAAAGTACCACAGTTAGAAACCCTGACTGCAAGGTCACAAGAATGAGTGGCCTCTGTCGCATGTGGATAAGAATGTGATGTTGTTGTAATCTTACATTCTCGAAGAGCCAGCTGTGTACTTTAGTTTAGATTTTCCTTTGCACTAAGGGCTCTTGCCCTATCCCATCCCATCCCCAATCCGCTCTCATTTCCACCAGACCCTCCCTATTCATGGCCTGGAAGAACAAAAGCTCAAAAGCAACTTGTACATGTTTGTGTGAGTGTCACAGATATGTGCTGATGGGTGTGAGAGAAAAACAGAGACAAAAAGACCAGATAGGAAAAACAAAAGTGAAAAAGTCCCACCACTGTATGATTTTGATATAACAGGTTCCCCCAAAGTCTCATGTGTTTGGGATGTGACTGGGTCTTGGGGCGCTGGGCTCAGCAGTGGATTCATCTGTTTTATGAGCTCCTGGCTGAATGTGCTGTTAGGAGCTAGGGCTGAGGTGGGTCTCGGCCTCATGCCCTGGAAGAGCTGACTCTTGTCCCTGGCTCTGCCCTTCTCAGTCTGCTGCCCAGCTGTCCTCTGCCAGGGCCCCTCTCACCCTGTGGTTTCTGCCTTGGACCCAGCAAACTTTGGCCTAAATTCACCGGAAACTGCAAGCCAGCTAATCCTCTCCTGTAGGCTGTGGGTGTGAGGTATTTTGTCCCAGCCAAACAGGAATGTGACTAATAACAACCACCTACCACATAGCAGAGTCTGGCACAGACTGCAGCTATACACGAGGCAGAGTCACTGTCCCCAGTGAGCCCACCATTTCCCCAGTAGAAGGCAGCTGCAAGTGTGTGGGGAAAGTGGAAAGCCTGTCATACAATCATAGAGAGTAAACAGAGAGGGTGGGTGGCCTTTCTGCCAGGCACCCGGAGAGGTGGCCAGTGAGATGAAGGGGGAAGACAAGGTGACAAGTGAGGAGGGCATTGCAGGAGGAGGAGGCTGGTTGGTGAACAGGGGTGGGAGTCAGCAGAGAGCTGCCAGGTGAGGATGCACGGTGGGATTGCATCAGTGCAAGATGAGGGTGAAAAGGATACTTTAGGACCCACGCAGCCCCAGGGCAGGACAGGACCACAGAACCATGCTGGGGACCGTGTACCTGGGGGACTGCTGTCTAACACTTGCTCAGCCATCTCCAGCTCTGCTCAGATGTTGCCTGCTCTGTGAGCCCTGTTCCTGTGATTTTCATGTTTCTGTCCCCTCCTGAGCTAATGCTGAATCTTTACCCCCAGTGCAACAGTTTTAGGGGACGAGTCCTTTAGGAGGTGACTTGGTCATGAGAGCTCTTCCTGCATGGATGGCATTCATGCTTTCTAAAAGGGCAAAAGGAACTAGCTAGGACATGTTTGTCCTTCTGTCCCTCCCACTATGAGAGGACACAACAGGCATCACCCCTGCTGGATGCAGCAACAAAGCACTGTCAGGAGCAGCAAGTGGTCTCCAACAGACACTGGACCTGCCAGCTCTGCCACTGGACTTCCCAGTCCCTAGCTGTGAGAAATAAAGTTCTGTTCTGTATAACTTACTCACTGGCCACCATTTTGTTACAGCAGCAGCTACCCAATGACGTATTAAAAATTTTAACCCATTCCCTGGTGCTCCCAGCCCTCCTTATCTATCCATTCTGTGGTGCTTATCATTTAAAACATACAGTATCATCAGCTTAGTAATATCATTCTTTCTGACCCGAAGGTTAATATCATGAAAGCAGGGATTTTCTTTTATTCATGAATGTACCCCAATGTACCTAGAAATTATATGGTAAATAATCAATAAATATTTGCTGGAGTGAATGTGGGAATATGAGGTTGGAAGCATCACCCCATCATTGTCCCTTTCCAGGACTTCACATTTCCAAGGGCTTCTCCTCAGCAGGTACATGGACCTCAGTTGCCATGTAACCAATTCCAACCAATGATGTGACTTTATACACATTTATCATCTCCTGTTGTCTGTGGTCAGGAGCCCAGGCACAGCTCAGCTGTGTCCTCTGTCTTGGAATCACAAAACTGCAGCCAACAGTGTGGCTGGGGCTTGGTCTCACCAGAGTCTCTGCTAGGGAAGGTCATTCCCAAACTCATTCAATGTAGCTGAGGTCGCATGACCAGTGGCTTCAGCATCTTTCTGGCTGTTGGCCGGAAGTTACCCGTCAACTCCCAAAGCTTGTGTGCAGGTTCTGGGCCTGAAAGGTTCCCTAGCTCCCAAACAAAGGCATTTGCTTCCTCAAAGCCACTGAGGGAGATGGAGAGACTGCTACAAGGTGGTGCCACAATTTTACATACAACACAATAATGTAATCATGCAATCCTGTCACCTTTGCCTTATTCTGTGGGTTAGAAGTTCTACCCACATTCAACAGGAGAGGTCACAGGAGGGTGGGACATCAGGAGGCATCACGGAGGCCACCTTCATAAAGGTGTGATAGCTGGAAGCCCACTGTCCCTGTCCTATGAACACCTCAGCCCCCACACCACATCATTGTTATTTACATGTGTGTGCACCACCCTCCCAGAAGGACAAGGGCTAGGGCTGTTCTTGCTTATCTTTAGTTGCTTTCGATACAGAGTTTGGCATAGTAAATCATTACTTTTAGATGACTGAGTAGAGGATGGATGGATGGATGGATGGATGGATAGATAAATGGGTGGGTGGGTGGATGGATGGATGGATAGGTGGGTTGGGTGGGTGAATGGCAACTGGATTTAAAATAGTGCAAGACAGAAAAGGAAGGGACGGGGCAGCAAGACAAGGGTAAAGGCAGAGCACCTGGACAGCAGGACCATGGCTCTCACCTGATGGGTGCGGCTCCATGTGAAGCAAGGAGGTGTCAGCACGAAGATGTGGGTCTGCTCACAGTCCCAGGTCTGGTTCCTGGAACTGTATTTTGGTATCTTTCCATCAGGGTAGCCAAGAGGCCAGGGGCCAGCCGTGTCTCTTTCCCAAATCTTCTGCTTCCTCCTCAGGAAATGGGGGTAGAAAAAGTCACACAGAGTATCTGAGTGTCCCGCGTACAAAGACACCAATGAGACCTTCTGTGGCTTTGGCAGAACTGGAGGTAATTTCCTAAGAAATAAACCAAGGAAAGAAAAACCCTCCTTTGTAATCTGCTCCAAGGCCCCAGGCAAAGGCTGTGGATGAGAAAAAATTTAAATCACTTCACTGAGTAAACACTGAGCTAAATCCCCTTGAACTCCTGCTCTGGGCAGAATGGGGAGTTCAAGTTGCTCCAGGCCTTGGTTTGAGTCCAAGATAGAAACTACATCCCAGACTGACCTGGTGCTGATGGTAAGATCGCCATCTTTCCTATCGTGACTGTAAGCAGGGTCCTGGGCTGCCTTTCTGCCTGTGTACAGAAAGTGTTCTCCGGAAAGCTGCAGCCAACAGAATCTGCTGTGTTTCCAAGGTGAGCTTTCAACTTGGTGACCTTAGCTAAACCTTTACATGAGTGTGTCAGTTACTTTTCTTTTGCTGTTGTGACAACATATCTGACACCCAAAATCAGAGAAGGAAAGTTCTATTTAGCTCACTGTTTGTGGAGGTTTCAGTCTATACTCAGCTGGCTCCAAGGCAGGGTGGCCCTTGGAAGAGGGCAATAGTTCATGGTGGTGAAAGACAGCAAAAGCAGCAAGAGCAAAAAGAGAAGGAACATGGAGAGAAGACTCTTTCTGTCCCTTATATTGTATGGAGACCACACCCACCCTAGGTAGGACTCACACCTGTAATCCTAGCATTGGATCATAGATTAATCACAAATTCTAGAAGCCTGCCCCCATGACTGTATGAGGCTTTGGGGGGACATCCAGACTCAAACCATAACAAGGAGCATGACCATTTGTTCCTCTGCTGCTCCCCTTCCTACTTCTCTTACTCACCTGATCCAAACAGATAGATTTCTTTTTGTCAGGGAAGGGCTGTAATGGTCAAGGTGAGTGAACTGTGACAAGGTCACCCTGGAGGCCATGATGTCCAAGACTTGGCTGACTATGGCCATCCTGAAGCTGAGGAGCACTACTGTTTTAGAGGTGATTTCTGAGCCTTTCGAATGGGCTCCTAGGTTTAAAATTGTGTAACTGGAATCTGTGAAATGATGAGCATTTAGGATCCCTGGAGTAAATGAACCACACAAACTGGTCATGCTGACTGTGAAGGGAAGTTCAGGTTCTAGGGTAAGTTGTTAACTTTCAAATGCAATTTCAGGCTTGGATTTCTCTTCCTGTTTTTTCTGCAACCTATCAGCACACCAGCACTGAGCTAGAGGCACTCAGAAGAACCTTGGAGATGCCAATAAAAAACAGTTGGATCTTATTTACTGAAATTTCCATGAGAGCAAAACAGTAAGGAAAATTTCAAGTTTCCAAACCACAGCATTTGCTTGTTTTGAAAGCAATGACTTCATGTGAGAAGCAAAGTGTTCCAATCTGTTTCCATTGTGTGAGCCTTTCTTAACTTTTTACTTGAGTTCTTCCTCTAATCTGCACAACTCCAGACTTGAGAAGTATTGTTCCTCTGCATCTCGGACTGTTAACAGATGCAGAACAACACAAGCAACATAGGAAGGTGGCCAGCTTCCTGCTGGGGCCTCTGCCTGGGTCTCCACTTCAGGCCTGTGGTAGATTAACTAGGAGTCGACTTGGAACTCCCAGTTGAGTTGAGTCAGCATGGTGCCGCATGTAGAAAGCCCACCTGAGAATTGCTGCCAACAGCATAAAAGGAGAACTGGAGGGAAAGATGGCATGCTGTTGCTGGAGGAGCTTGCCATGCTGGTTTTCCTGATAGGAACTCAGCTGTTATCATCGTCGGAGGAACTCAGGTCCTTGCTGTCACTGAGGATGACTGTGGTTCTCTTTGGGGGAGCACTCACTGGTCCTTACCTTGAGCATCACTCACTGGCTGCACTGCAGATCCCCCAGCCTGCTGGCACAGATCCTTTATCCCACTGGTGCAGACTTTCTAGCTTCTACTGTTGAATTTTGAGCCTTCCCAGTGCAAATGCTTGATACAGACTTGCATGAGACTTTGTCATGGGCTCTAGGCCTCCAGTTGAATTCATGGAGGACATTGCTGTGGACTCTAGGCCTTCAGCTGGACTAGTGACGAACATTGCCATGGGACCCAGGCCCTCAGCTAGATTCTTTGGGTCCCTGGCATGTGGACACATAGTGGGGTCTCTTGCACGCCTCTGCATTTGACTTTTTGGTTGAATTTTAGAAAATAATCCTATAAATTCTGTGTCCTGTATTGTCTGTTCCCTTGAAAACACTGACTACAAGACCCCAGGTTTACAAGCAACAGTAGCTAGTCCAGCCCAGAGTGGGGCTCTGCAGGAATGACCAGTTAGAAAGAGTCCTCTGCTGGGTGCCCTGTTCTCTGCTCAGCACTGGAAGCAGCTGCAAAAGCTGAAGTGCTCCTGGTCCTTTCCGCCAGCAGACTGAAATTATTATAGGGCCACCAGGAACCCCTGGTCAGGAACTGACTCCAAAGAGGGAAGCAGTTCCAACTCAGGGGCACAGGTGATTCCAACCCTCAGTCACCCTCCGGGGACTCACCTGGAATCCACGTGACAGAGAGAAGATGCAGAGCTGTGCCCGCACTCATCTCCCCGCAGGGCCAGGCTACTGGTAACAGGCTTTTGATGCCGCTTGCTGTCTACCTGCTTCCGCTCCCCTCTCACCCACCTCTCCCTCCTCCACTGTCTTCCTCCTCCTCCTCTTGCTTTTTGTTTGTTTTTCCTCATTGTTTTTTTTTTTATGAGTATGAACATAGTTTTGAGCTTTTTGTCATTGTTATGCTCTATTTTGTCCTTATTTCTTCTTTTTCTCTTCACCCCTTCAGCACCAGTTTCTTCAAAGTGTATGAGATTGTCCTCCAGCCTTGCTTCTGATCACCTCCTTTCCTTCTATTTCTCTATTTTCCCCTCAGCGCCTTTTAAATTTTCTCTCCCAGTGATAAAATTGCCATATTGAGGACTAACTTTCTGCACACAGTTTTCTGGTTTTAGATTTTGTTTATCTATGCACAGAACTAGATCGTACAGTTAAAGGTGGCAAGATAATACTTAACTCAGTTCGAACTTTTCTAGGCTGCGTTTGAAGCTATTGTGATTGCTGTGCCACTTTAGCTAGAGTGAAGTAACTGTTCTAACCAGTTGGTCTTCCTGATATACCAAGACTGAGATTGTCTAAGGGTCATAAGAAATACAACAAATTTCCTTCTCCCTGAGCTCAAACACCATCTCAGGCCCGTCACCTGGATCAACCCGCACCTGGTCCTCCAGCACCAGTGTCCTGAGTGACTGTCGCATCACCGCCCTGCAGCCCCCATCTCTTCTCCTTTCTCTATGGCTGTACAGTAACTGGCAGCTGTGCCTTGGCACAGATGGACTTAGGTTTCCTCTACTTTGCTTCATTCCTAAAAAGCTCTTACCTGAACTGTGATGCTAAGAAGGACCCTGGAAGCTCAGAGTTTCCATGGTCCTTGATGCTGGTGACCTGATGAAGATGAATTGAGAATTCTGGAAAGACACAGCAGACACACAGGCAGGGCTGACGGATTTGGATCCAAGGTTGTCCCCACAAGAAAACTCTCAAATGTCCAGGCCTAGGGTACACCTGTCCTTTGCAGTGAGGGTGAAGGATGCAGCTGGCTCCTCCTGGACCATAGGGACCGAGCACTCTTATAAAATGGAGAGAGAGGATTCCCAAAGGAAGGCATACAGAGTCAACAAGCAGACTCCTGAGTCAGAACCCTGCTCTTCCTTTCCTCTCTTCTCCCCTTTATATCTTCTTCACTTTACCCACAGTTGAGCAGGAGCAGCCTCTTCACTTTCTTTTCATCCTTGGTATCCAGGCAATACTGGGTGATGAGGAGGGAAGGCAGCAGAGCGAGGCGGGGGAGTAGACAGTGGCCAGTTGGCTGTGTGAACGAGTGTCACCTGTCAATCATAGAGATCCAGGACGTATGTGCAGAAGAGTAGCCAAGCCCTGCACCTGGGACCAACCAGAAAATGCTGGGGGCTACACCTGCCCCCCAAGAGGCAGGAGGAGGGAGGGCCCCAGGCTCATGCTAGGGAAGAATCCAGGATCCTGCACGCACCCGTCTGTGTTCCAGGTCTACTGTGGACACGAACATCCGGGTCCTTTTCACCCCCAAAGCAGCCTGTCATGAATCAACAGGACACTTCTGTCTTTCGTGGGGCTCTCACTAAATTCCAGGGTCCTGATCAACTATTAGAAACTAGTTCTCTTTTGGAACCCAAGAGTTTTCAGTTCTTAGCTGATCAGCACCCCATGCACATGCACGTGCACACACACACACACACACACACACACACTAATGCATACATGCTGCAAACTGGTGCAAGACTCAATCAGACCACTTGGATCACACAAACAAGCTGCCTGATGGAATCAGGGACTCTGCTTCCAACGCCAATCATCTTGCTCTGGAGAGACAGGGCTCCCTTTCACCCAGGCTCCCCTGGACTCAGTGCTGGGCAAGCTCACAGGATGGGTGGTGAAAACAACACACAGATGAAATTTTTCTACCTCGAAACAAACCCTCTGAGGTAGTCACGCACTTGGAGTCAGACTCCATCTCTTCTGCCAAGTGGTGGGTTACTGCCGTTCATCGGGAAAACTGTTTGCAATTTGCAAAGCTTCCAAATTCTGCCTCGGGAAGTCTATGCCTCTTGGCTTGCCTGTAGCTCCTCCTTTGTGACCATGAGATGGGCCTGATAATCACACACTGGGTTGCATAACTCTTATTATTCTGACCACAATAGCCTAGTGCACAAAAGAGAACCCATGTTTGGCACTTTCTGGTTCACATCAGCAGCTTCATCTAAGGCAACTGCAGATGTCCTTCTCCCAGCACAGTGGTCTCTTGCTGGTCCTGAAACTGGAGGGTCTTCAGGGACAGCTGCAGGGCAGGAATGCCTGCCCCCTGTCCTCCACATGCCCTTCTGCCTCCTCCCTCACCAAATGTTTGATCTCTCTGGCTCTTTCCCAATGATGGGGCCACACACAGAAAAGAAGTGGGACCCAGAGAGTCCTGACACTTCCCAGAGGCCCTGGTGTCCCTGGAGAGCTGGGAGACAGGGAGCAGCCAAGGCCTGCAAGTGCTTAAAGACATGAGCGGATCCAGTGGGCCACTGTGGTCCTCTCCCTTTTCTCCCTGCCCTGCCTGGGGTCCTGGCCTCAGGGACCATGTCCAGCCATAGATGTCAAAGTGGCAGGGAGGAGGTTGCAGCTTTGATCTGGGCAGAGGGAGGGCACTGCCCATTCCAGATGCAAGTTGGGGGCCAACCTGTGTCCAGAGTCCTCCTGTCTTGGCTCACAGCTCTGGACTCTTCACAAACACTAAAATGAAGAGGCCTCCTGCACTTAGCTGTTGAGAGAGCCTCAGACTCTGCCCCTTGGTGTAAATAACAGCCATCTGTCAAGACAATAAAGTGTGACAGCACAAAGTAAGACATATTCTAGATAACTATAACCTTGAGGAACGGGAAGTACAGGCCACCTCTCCTCCCACTCTCAGGGGATCTGAGAAAGGCCGTGGTGACCTGATGGATGGGCTCAGTGTCCTGAGCTTGCCTTTCTCCTCCTCCATCTATTCCATCTTCTCTTTATTCTTCCTCTGCTCTATCCTCTTTCCCATCTCCTGCTCCTCCTCCTTCTTCACCTCCTGCTTCCCTCCAGTTTTTATTTTGAGACAGTCATGGCCAGGCTGGCCTTGAATTTGTGATGCTCCTGCCTCAGCCTCCCCAAAGCTGGGTTTATCAGTGTGCAGCCACCACAGCTGTCTTCTTCTGCAGTTCTCCCAGTGACCAATCAGCATGATTTGTCCCTAACAAATTTTGGCCCTTGATCTCCATAAAACTGTGGAGGCTCAGAAGGGAAAGGTCCTTACACATCACACCATCCACCCAACTCTCAGGATGTGTAAGGGAGTGTTAGAAGCAGGTGCCAGTCTGAAAAACGCTCCTGACAGTTCACCCTAAGGTTTTGTCTGCAGATGCTACCGAGGCCTAAAGACCTGGTAGTTACCTGGTTAGTGAATCTAACAAGCATTTAGACTGCATTTCAAGGCAGGACGTTCACTATGTCACTTGAATCTATCTACTTTGCAGTCTACACTGCTGGGATTTCATACAAGTAAAAAGTACCCTCCACGCATCTACTCTGCTAGGTTTCTAAACTACGCCTCTGGGCACCAGGCCTCTCTCCACAAGATGCCCTAATATAGTCATCACCTTCTGGACCCTAGGCCCAGGTCCTGGATCAGAGGTGAGCTTCCTTTCAGTCCAAAGCCGATGCTGTGGAGGCCTGGAAGAGCCACCTACGCTGGGCTGGGCTGGGCTGACCCCGCCACCCCATCTGCTCAGGGTACAGTCCAAAGCCGATGCTGTGGAGACCTGGAAGAGCCACCTACGCTGGGCTGGGCTGGGCTGACCCCGCCACCCCATCTGCTCAGGGTACAGTCCAAAGCCGATGCTGTGGAGGCCTGGAAGAGCCACCTACGCTGGGCTGGGCTGACCCACCGCCCCATCTGCTCAGGGTACAGTGCTTCTTTTGTGCCATTGTCTCAGCTCTTTCGGTTTTAGTTTGTATTTTTCTTTTTCCTTTCCCCTCATCCCAAACCAAGTCCCCAGGGCCTCATCAGCCCACACACACACATCCATCCCCACAATATATCTTTATTCCATAAGCAGGCTGTGGACAGCTTATCACTTTGCCAAAATTAGAGGCTTTCTCCTGATCCTCAGTTCCTGAGCTAAAATGGGGGGCAGCGGGTAGGAGAGAGTGAACCTCAGATCTTTGGACCATCAACTTGGGTTCCTTTGAATGAATGAAGGCAAATCTCAAGGAAGTGGCATTCTCAATCTGGAATAGTTAACATGACAACCTAATGACCATCTCAGGCCACACTGTAGAAAAAAAATGGCAGAGAATGTGTTGATTACTGATTCCTTTGGCCTGCAGTAGAATTTTGTTCAGGCCCAGAAACCTTTCTTTATTACAGCCCTTCCTTGGCCCATCTCGCAAAAATCACACATCTATTCTTGACTGAAAATTTTTCTATTGAAGCAGCTTTGCTGAGATGAATCTTTCCCATATCCAGCTCAAAAGTTGACTGTTTTCCTAAATTGTTACTTCTACCTATATCAAAGTAGCCCAGTTCAAAGAAACAAAATGTACTGGGAAAAAGAAGAGATTTGATTGATTGTTACTGGCAAAATGTATATGCACGTTGCATCTACCTGAGGGCTCATGCCACCAGAATTAGAAGAATCCTGGCCTATGTCAGGTGAATGAGTTTCTGTGCTGGAGATCAGGGTTTCCTAGTGGCCTCAAGGCACCCACAGTGCCACACTACATAGCTGAGCTGGCATCTGAGATGCTACGAGTCCCTGGCCTGTGTCCTTTTCTTAGGTGGAGATGTCCAAAGCTGTGCGGTACACAAGAGACCCCTTGTAGCTCCTGTGTGGACAGAAAACAGTTTCAGGAGAGGTTGTAGAATTTCTGAGTTTCAGGAGTTTGTCTGGTTGATGGCCCATGACCACCTTCTGTTAGAAAAGCCCCTTGACTGTCATCTGCCCGAGGTGAGAGAAGGATCGTTACCCAGGCCACAGGAAGTCGCGTGGCTATTCACAGGGAGAAGGAGCTAGAACACCAGCCTCTCGGTGCAAGCAATGTACTGCACATCACATCTTCCTTGTTTCTACAAAATCCCTGCCCAAATGCCCAGTAAGTATTTGCTAAATTAATACAAGTTTCATTTCTGACAAGTCTAGGGCTGGGAAGATGTCAGTAAGTCTCAGAACCATCAGCTCAACAGAGCCAAAAGTCCTTTTAATCTAAGACTCAAGGCCCAAGGCCTGTCCCCCTCCAAGACTGTGACACAGCTGTGAGCTTAGCGACTCTTGTACCAGTTCACATCAGATCAGATGGTGGCCTGAGTTACAGGCAGAGAAGAAGAGAAGAAGAGGTGGCACTGCCACGGAGGAGTCTCGATGGACAGATGTGGACCCTCGCATGCAGGTGTTAGAGGAACCTGAATCAACACGACCACCACAGCAAGGCCCCGCGAGGAACTGACGTGGGGTTCCTGGATGACCTCTGAGTGCCCGTGGGTAAATTCTACATAGAAGCTGTTTCCCTCTCCCCTGTCCCTTAAAAGTAGTATTATTTAACCCGGAAACTTCAGCGTGCCTACCCCAAAGAGGCTCTGCCACCAGTTCTCTATATGAATGTCACAGCTGAAGACCGTAGACGTGTCCCCTACCTCTAGTGGTCCCATTGAAGAGATACAAATAAAAAGTATCTTCTCTCCAGCAGGGCATCAGTAAAACGCAAGGGGCTGTTCTCTCATGCACAGAATGATTTCTTTGTTCCTCAGAAACAAGGCCGGCATCTCTTTGGGGGCCAAAGAGGGAGCCTGAATCATAAGCAGAGCAGATGCTACAGCCCAGGGACAGCAGCAAAATGGTAGCTGGGGCTTTAGCCCCTGATGCTTCAGTACTCGTAGTGTATTAACTGTGACCTCACATGACATATTTTGTGCTAAAACTGAACCCTTGTACTTCCAGTTGTCAGGTTTGTGTCCAACCTCATGCATCTCCAAACACAGGCAGACTGAGCTCTCGTGAGACATCCTCAGGCCCCAGGCGGAAATGGAGAGAAGAGATGTGACACAGCTGGTCACATCTCTGACCCTTCTACCCCAAGATATCTTCATACAACTTGCTTATACAGCAAGCATTTACAGCGCTCCTACACGGTCTAGTCCCTATGCCCAAACCTGGGCCTTCAAGGAGTGTCCCTTCCTGCAAACAGCTTTGCAGGGAGATGGCCCTATGCAAGGCCACAATGCCTTGTGATGTATCGCAGTGTAGGGGTGCAGGCCAGCTTGGGAGCACAGAGCAGGGCCACAGAGCCTGACGAGGCCTTCCAAGACTCCCTCAAAGCCCAGCAAAGACTGGGGAACGTGGGAACAGCAAGCAGGAGGCCACAGGCAAATGAGACCCAGCTGGGGGATTCTTAGCCAGGCTGCAGGCTGAAATCAATGGTAGAACCTGCTGGCTCCCTGGAACCTTCCCTCAGGCCCTGTGGACTCAGAATCTTTACACGCGGTGCCCAGGAACCAGTATTGGCAAAGTAATTAATTGGGAAGTGTTTGGGCTGAGACTGCTCTGGCACTTTGAGCTCCTAGATAAGCAAGCCAAACGCAGATGATCAGAAGCTGTGAGAAAGAGAAAATCAAATACAGTGATGCCTTGGTCTATGAGCTTAATATGTTTTCTGACTTGGGGGAAGATGGCTGAGTTTGTGTTTGTATGGAAAAGATGACCGTGGTCATGTTTGTAAATGGAAGCGAAATTTTGTGAAAAATTTTTTTTCGTTTGTGATGCAAATTGTTTGCAAGCAGGTACATTTTGAACTGAGGAATTCCTACAGAAAGTAAAAAAAAAAAAAAAAAAGTGAATAAAAGAAACAGCCATTTTCTTAGGGACTTGGAA